ATATATCGCAACATTTTGCTGATACAGTAACATTTTAACGTTTTAATATAATTTAAAGTTTTAATATATCGCTTGTATGATACGGAAATCATACATGTGTGCTAGAGGGTTAGCTTGTGCCACATTTGAGGGAACTTCATCTACATCATCATCGAAGTTGAATTACGGTGATTCTGGGTGAATGAATAGTCCAGTCTCAGCACCATCCGCACCAGGTTCACGAAGCGATTCTTCTGGTGGAGATGTGGTTCCTCCATGCTCTCCACATTTAGGTGGAAGAACCTACTACTTGCATGTCTTCCCCTTGAACTAGAAGGCATATCGATATTGAGATCGAAAAAGCTCGCAGTGGAATGCCTCTCCCTGGAGCTTGAAGCCATCGTGTCAAATGGAAACTGCATAGATTGTTATAGATTGTTACGTCGATGACATCTCCATATTAAGGTCAAAGAAATTTGCAGATGAATGTCTTCCCCTTGAACTGGACGCGATGTTGTCATACAGATTGTTCGTTGACCTACCTCGATACATATCGTAAGGAGTTGCAGATGAATGTCTCCCCATTGAAGTTGATGTGACGACACCATGATGCGAGTTTCATATTATGGCGTTAAAATCATTACACATTACTATAGTCGGGATGTCAACTTGATCAACTTATTCAGCCAGCCCATTGTGGGAGATTAATGACTGACCCCGAACAGCACGTACTTGAACAAACTTTGCATACATCTCAATATTGGCGTCTGAATAATTACTTTGAGAATTAGCCATCATTTCAACATCATCATTGTTCGATAGTTCGAAAGCTGTATAAGTTAATGGAAACAATGATGTTGGAAATCTGTACTGCAACGACAACATTCTTCTACTACTTCCAACATGAACCTTAATCAAAATCTTCGTTATCAGTTCCTCAAGAGTTATATTTCTCTTGAATGATATTTTAACACGCTCATTTGATACGAAAACAACGCCGGTTTCATCTTCTCGAATTTCTTCATCATAATAAACAATAACTAAAAGTCGCGCCATTCTTAGAGTTTCAAAGTGCGACAATATTATATCTGCAAAAAAATAATTGAAACAAACTTGATTAAATAAATAATATATGAACGAAAATATAACACAATAAAAATTTTACACATTAACGTAAATAATTTAAATAATATAATTTTATATTATTATCTGCACCGCAAAAATATTTCGACGTATGCTTCCGCTTTCCAATTTTACAAACACATAAATTAATTGAAAACAATTAGTATAATATTTTTTTTCAAATAATCATATATAATTATAAAAAAATAATATAACAAAATTACCTTATAACGAAAAATCGAACGAACTTCTGAATCAAATATAAGAGGATTGTCGGGTGTTATTTATTGGTTGAAAGGATTGTTGGTGAGAGAGTTTACGGGGAGAGGGTTATTTATAGTCGAGAGAGGATGTTTTAAAGCCAAGAAGTTCGGGTAAATCATGTCTGATAATTGAGCATGTGATAATTGAAAAGCACGGCCCCTGCACCGCGCTATAGCACTACGTAGAGTAAGGCGTGCTTCAGGGGCCGCGCTATGGAAATATAAAGTCAAATGGTGATATATCGGGAAAAATACCCCAAAAAAATGAAAAATATTTTTTTTTTAATATATCTCTCTCTAACTTCAGTGCTTTGCTTGCTCCTCTCTCTAGCTCCTGCCCATTCTTCTCTTTGCTGTGTTTGTTTTCACTTGTTTTAAAAAAAGGGTATTTTTTTGGGATAATTAATCAACTAATTTGTATGATCTGATTTTGTTCTCTCATCAATTATCTATCCGGCCTGTTAAATTTTAATGCCTTTTTACCCCGGAGAAAAAGCTTACGTTTTCCTTAGCTCAGATCTTCGGCTTTCTGATTGTTGAGAACTTGTATATTCTTTTGCACATTTAAATGATAGGTGTTACTAGCAAAAAAGAAAGAGTTGATTTTTTACATCCATTTTTATCTTAGCTTCTTTGTTCTATGTTTATGCTTTTGATTGTTTTCCTTAGTTAAAAAGTCCCTGTATAGATCTTGATTTTTGGTGGTTTTATTTCTTTCTTTTTTTCAAACGAGAACTTAAAAAACATAGAAATATACAAACCTTCAAATTGTGTGGATCTTATCTGTTTTGCTTTCTTTGAAGTGGTAGCAAATATTTTTAGAACCCAAGTTTTTTTTACACTGTTTTATACAGATTTTAATGGGGACTAACATGAACTTCAAGTACTTTGGAAGTAACCTTGGCGGCGGCGAAAATAAACTGCCGGGGAATAACCAGTTAACTAGACAGTCAACAATCTATTCTCTAACCTTTGATGAGTTTCAAAGCACCATGGGTGGAATAGGAAAAGATTTCGGTTCAATGAACATGGATGAGCTGTTGAAGAACATTTGGAGTGCTGAAGAAACTCAAACAATGGCGTCTTCCGGTGGCGCTCTAGAAGGAAATGGAGGGTTACAAAGGCAAGGGTCTTTGACTTTGCCAAGAACACTTAGCCAGAAAACTGTTGATGAAGTTTGGAAAGATATTTAAAGGGAGTATTCGTTAGGGAAAGACGGTATTGGAACCGGAGGCACTAAGAATATGCCACAAAGGCAGCAGACTTTAGGAGAGATGACTTTGGAGGAGTTCTTGGTGAGGGCTGGTGTGGTAAGAGAAGATGCTCAATTGGCTGGGAATTTTAACAATGGGGGATTCTTTGGTGGGAATAATACTTGTTTTGAAATTGGGTTTCAACAAGGTGGCAAAGGTCCAAATTTGATGGGGAATAGGATTCCTGAAGGTGGTAATCATATTGGTATCCAGGCTTCCAATTTGCCTTCCAATGTTACTGGAGTTAGATCAAACCAACACCCGTTGGCTCAGCAGCAACAACAACAACCAATTTTTCCTAAGCAAACTGGTGTAGGGTATGGAGCTTAGATGCCTTTACAAAGTGGTGGTCAGTTGGGGAGTCCTGGAATTCGGGGTGGAAATCATGGGATTGGGGATCAGGGAATAAGTAATGGTCTGATTCAGGCTGGTGGAGGGATGGGGATGGTTGGTTTAGGAGGGCCACTCAGTGTTGTGACCGGATCGCCTGCGAACCAGCTTTTGTTTTGGGAAGAGCAGTGGAGATACTTCCTCAGTTTCCCCAGTTCCTTACGTGTTTAATGGAAGATTGAGGGGTAGGAAATACAGTGCGGTGGAAAAGGTTGTTGAGAGGAGGCAAAAGAGAATGATAAAGAACAGAGAATCAGCGGCAAGATCGCGGGCACGCAAGCAGGTGAATATACTTTTTGATTTACTCAAATTTGTTTAATCTTCCTTCTTAGCTGTTAGTTCCTCAAAGTGCAAAGTTCAATATATATGCATTGTTATCCGTCTGCTCATTTGATATTTTCTCATGGCCACTGAGTGAAACTTAGACTTTTTACACTGTTTTTTGATGAGCCTTTTAAGGAACACCTTCCCACCCGGTTTCCTCTTGGTGTGGTCTGATGAGTTTTATCAGCCATTGACCTTCTGTTAATATTATGTGTGACTTGGTTCATTCCCAAACTGCGTGGAAGTTCTATGCTGCAGTATGGTAATTTTGATAATAATCTGATATAACAAGAGATGAAAGATTTTGGTAAGTTGAGGTCATGAGAATTTATAAAGATCCTTGTCACCAGGTAATGGAGCACTTGTTAAACACGATGAGAAGTTTGAAGTTGTGCATCGTATAAGAATCTATAAAACCATTGATTGAGTTTTACATTCTTGACCTTGTGGATTTGGTTATAACTATATCAACCAAAACAGTTCTATCCCATGGTAAAAGTATGGTTCGTCACAAAATACATGCTCCGAAGTTTCTTATGGTTTATGCTTCTCTGCTAGGCTTATACAATGGAACTGGAAGCAGAAGTTGCAAAGCTAAAAGAGGAGAATCAAGAATTGCGGAAGAGACATGTATGTTCTCCATCTTCGTTTGTACACCATTTTTCTTATTGTTTGCTTATGGCAAACAGCTGCTCACATTCTCATTGTCTGTACATTGGTTGCTGCAGGCATAACTCATGGAAATGCAGAAAAATCAGGTAAAGAGTAGTAGTCTCTCTCTTTTCTTATTTATTTGCTAAGAGCTTGATTTATTACCTCCTCGAACATCACGAGGCATCATCATATGGCATGCATTTTCCAGTGTTTTATAAACCTCATTTTCTAGAAATTTAGAGTTGTGCCCTCATGTCTAGAATTCACTAAGTTTTTCTGTTTCTATTCCATCTGAGCATGGGGACAGGCTCGGGGACTCTTTAATCTGGTTACTTTTGCATGAAAAGTTTGAGGGTGTTCCAAGTTCATTTTTGGTAACCCTTTTTAACGTTTGACTTGCGCCATGTACTCTCTAGTTGGCTACTTTCGTATTACGAGCGTTGTTTAATCTGCACTGTGCAACTCCATTTTTTTTCTTTTGACCTATTCTCTGTTACACTTTTCTTTATTTATTTTTAGAAACTTGCTTAAAACTTGGCATCTTTGAAATTTCTATATTCTAAATCAAGATTCAATTGATTGATTGTCGCAGGTCATCGAGAGGATGAACACGCAAGAAGGAACTATGAAGCGATGCTTACGTAGAACTCAGACTGGTCAATGGTGAACGTGGAACTTCAACTTCTGATTCTTAGTTAAAATTATGCACGGCAGGCGGTTGCACATAGTTAGATGTCGATGATAGTTGCTCCCTTTAGCTAAAACTAGAGCAATGTAGAATTATAATCTTGCAATATTTGTAATTTCATTCTATGAAGATGGCTCATATAGTTGCACCATGTGTAAATTTTTTAGGCCGCTAATCGAATTTGGTTTTGTTGGTTCATTTAGTCAATGCTATTCTCGTAGCAACTTGATATTTTGCTTACTTAAATCAGAGGATAGGACTATGCATATATGCATAAGCTCTTTGCCCTTAAACCATCAGTCACTTAGTAAACATAACCAACGAAAATGCCCAATCTTAATATTTTAAGCCATTGTTTGTTCAACGCAGAGATGCATGCCAGGAAAAATAAATAAATGAAGACGTAAATCAGCATACAGCTTCGGTAACACAAGGCAGCCGCTCCCAAGGCCATCATCATTTGATCTTAATGCAACTCCATGAATCAAAGACTGAGCCACTTGCCCTCTTCATTATCTTCACTGGTAGAATCACTGTTTTTGCTGCACAAAAGGATTATTTCAGACCCCCTCTTGGTCGAAGATCCATCTCCATGTTCCTGCAAAAATAATATCAAAAGCTCCATTCCTAAAAAGGATAGCCAGTAGTGCACTCCATGTCCTTCCAGGATATCAATTTCCGACGATCCCTCCCTCTGTATGATCTGGCGAGAAGCCTACCACTAACAGGTTTACACAATCCAACATCTATCACAGAACTAGTCTTCCTCTTGTCCGAGGATGGAGTTGCCTCATCCATATAATAGTCAAACAACATAGCAAGACAGTATATTTGATGTGATAATGTATAGTTTTCATCATCCGGGGGTACCATCTTTAACATGTGGAGATTTACCTGCACGATGCAACCATAGAATGAGAATTTAAAAAGGTGGACCTCAACCAACAGCTCATCATTGTTACCGCTCAAACAAAAGGGCTAAAACTACTCTACAGCATTTAATAAACCTTTTATCATTTCCCATTGTCCATGCTTCATGTAATGTATAACATTGACTATTCCTGGAGAAAATTCAACAAATCACCATCCATTATTGTGAGATAGCTACTTCAGAAATACCAGTGGCATACCTCAGCCTCCATAGCACGAACTTCGTTGTGCCACCCAGAATAGTCATTCTCAGAAGAATTTTCTCCAAGTGAGTAAAGATTCATTGTAAACAAAGGAGGTCTAAGAGGGTATTCCATACTGATCTTAATCTGCAACAGTTCAATTTGGCGTGTCAGGTTTCCATCTTTAATGAACATAAGAAAACAAAACAAAGTAATTGTCGACACCTTGGCTTCTAGTTTCATATTCAGCCCACTTGTGGGCATTTTCCTTGTTAAATGAAGAACAAATTCCTTGTTACCATAGTCAACCCATGATTTTTCAACTATTTCATAGCACTGAACAGAAGAGTTTTCAGTCTCTGTCTCTAGGGGCTCATCCAGTTCACTATCCGTCTCTAGCATGAAGACATAATCATCGTCATGCTTTTTGAAACTCGGTAATTTTCCCTTACTGGCTGGGGACAAAATGCTCTTTGAAATCAAAGCCAATTGCTTGGAATGGTCAAGACCAGATCCCTTCAGTAGAGTAAGTTTAGTATCAATTGTCGCAGATGGGACTGAAAGCAAAGATGGAAGCTCCCCATCTTCCCTAAAACCCTCCAGCTCTTCCTTCGTGATACCAGATCTTCCATCCATATCATCCGTAGGTTCTTGAACTGGTGCCGTGTCAATAACAGGTTGGGATGAATCCTCATTGCCTTTGGATCCTACAGATGACCAACTATGCAAATTGCACAAGGGAGCATGCAAGGCCCATGGAACACTTTTACAATTCAAAGCAGGCCATTTAAGCTTCATAAGTGAATCAAGCTGTTTCCTGTAATTCAATGAAATAATTCCAGATTTTCAACAAAAAAAAATACCAAACTGAAGACAAAACAAGCTAAGAACAATCCAACATGGAAAAAAACAAATATATTCCAACACACAAGTTGCGGCTAAGGCAAAGAGATTTTTTTAACTAAAACCAAAAATTAGGAACTTTATATCATAAAGATTTGACCACATAGTGGAATTCACTCCTATTTGCTTTCTTATTGTTTTCTTCAAGATCCAAACTCCAAACATACAGGACAGTGACTCACGTAAGAGCCAGTTCTGCTTTTATCCGTGCTCGGATTCTCTCGATGACTGTCTGCACTCGGTTCTGCTGTCGGTACAATGCAAGACCAGAGATAACAGCATCGCTTTTGGTTTCACTGTTTGGAGCTTCATGGCTACTAAGCAATGGTGAAACCTCAGGTAAGAAATCAATTCCTGCCAAATGCTGGGCCCACTTGTACGGACGTGAAATTCTCTTTTCATCAAATGAAGCACCCTCACCAATGAACAGCTTGGCTGACTGCAATATAACTCAGAACAGTTATCATTACATGAAAAGGAAAACATGACAAAAAAGGCCAAGGTCAAGGTGGAGCAATGCACATAATAGACACAAACCTGGTGAGGCAGATCCAGGCCAGTGTCATCAGGAAACAAATTGCAGAGGATGTTACACTCAGGTCCTTCAGTTGATCCATCAATCCCAACACAAACAACATTCATCTTTAACAGGTATTCAAACTTCAAAGTGACAAGTTTTGCTGATTCAGGATCAGATGCCTCATCATCATATATGCGAAGGATAATTTTCAGAGGATGAACTTGATAGACTCCTGCGTTGTCAATAGCCTCCATACTAGGAACCCTCTTTGGCCGTTTTCTCCTTCTCTGTCCATCATCTTCCTCATCTGGTACATCATCCTCCAACCTTGAGCTCTCAACGCTGGTAGATAAACCTGGCAACAATTGAATATCAGTACTCACTTCAATTTTTTTGTGAAAAGAAAAAAAAGATTTAAGTAGTTGCTAGCCCAGAGCAGGTTAGAGGCCAAGTTAAGAAGATAAAGTGAAATAAAATACAAATAAAAAACATAATAGAGAAAATTCTTTACAGAAATAAATAGGTTTAGTTACACTCACCTAACACAACAAAGTTCATTTCACTAGCAACCATAGTTTTCAACTTGAATGTTTATGTGCATTTGTACTAGCCTACTTGTCCATTATCTTGTAATAAAGAGTATAGCAGTAAAGTAACATCTGAAGAACTATCAACTATTGCACTATGCACAGATGCACACAACCAAAAGGAAGACCAGCATAACTCACCATTTTCTTTATTTGCTTCCTGGCGGGCAAACGCCTGAGCATCCTTCATACTTCCAATGATCTCCAGATCAATATCTTCACCAAATGCTTCCTTCTGTGCCATGAACTGTGAGTAAATCACATAGAGTGGAGGTGGAAGAAGCTCAGCCGAATGATGCTGCTTCAGTTTCTTTGTATGCAAAACACCCAATTGATTCTGAACAGGCAACGATGCTTTCTTAAGGGATTTGAGGTGTGATGGCAGACTTGATAGAAACTTCTTCCTATTAGCTATTGTCTCCAGAAGATTTTTCTTTCGTTGTTCCAACTTTTCTAGAAGTTTGCATAGCTCTTTCCTCTGAGACAAATCATATGCAAACATAGGCTTAGCTATGCATTTTTATCCTAAACACAATATATGTTGTCCTAAACACAAATAAGGTGTATAAAAGATTCAATTCCCATAAAATTTAAAATTATATAAAGAAAATACTATGTTTATCTATTCAACTTATATTTGGTTAGTAATTTACCTGGAATAACTCATAATTAAGCCTCTTAAGCATCAAATTATGCGAGCTATCCTCAGACAAATTCGAACCCTTAATATCTTCAGGAGCGTCGCGAAAAAACTCCTCCTCGGGCACAAGCTCGATATCAGGATACTTAGATTTGAAATCCTTGCAAGTTTTTATAGCTTTCAAATAATGACTCTTCTCGTACATTAAATTGTGATGCTGCAGCGTCGTAAAATCCACAGGTGCCTTCGCACGTTCCGTCTCCGATTTCACTTTGTCTTCCTCCAACAGTATGTTACGATTCACCTGAAAGAAGAAAAAAAATAAAATTAAAACACGAGATTTCTATTTCAATTTGTTTCCCCTTTTCGATTGATAAATAGTTTTCCGAAAGAGAACCTGGCGGAGATTGACGAAGTTGAGTAACATTTGCGTGACTTGTTCTCTGAGTTCAGATTTTGGTTTGTTTTCCTTTTTGGCTGAGAGGATTTTGGCGACGACCTCTTCGACCGAGGCTTTGGTTTCTTTAAGCATGTCGTTAGGAGATTTCTCGGGCTTGGGCGGCGGAGCTGGTGACTGTGATCTCACATCCACCACCATTTCCTCCTGTATCTCTCCGTCCTCCATCTTCTTGCCACCTCTATATGTTTCGGACCAAGCTACAACAACGAACCCCCAACTAAGTTCAGCTCCAACTTCGATTTGGATGAAACGGCGACCCTTTAAGCTGTCTCGGCCTTTCTTTCTTTCATTGCGTTAGGGTTTGGGTATGTTAAAATAGGGTTTTTTTTTTGCCCAATACCCTCATGCGGGTAAAAATTTTGATAAAAAATTTGGGGTATTGGGCTTACTAAAATTTTATTTAGCAAATTACGATATTTGTTACATTGTGTTGAATCTCGTTATCTTGAGAAGATGATTTTCTCGGATATTATTTTTTAATGCTCCCCACATAGTGGGTTGACGTGATAAGTTTGTTAATTATTTTTTTTAAATTTTTTAACAAATAATATTTATAAAATAAAATAAAAATCGATATAACTCGTCACGTTGAGGTGACGAGTTCCTTCGAATTAAAAAAAAATTGTTGACTAGCCTTTGTTCAACTAGTAGAGGGGTAGCAACGGTCAATGAAACCAACCATTTTGAAAAACTAGTCGTTGGTGTAATACCCCTATCTCATATACAGTCCCATATATGAGGTAGAATTATCACATCAATCATATACGACATATATTATTTAAAAATTGGTAAAATTTTATTTCATTTAAAATCGCCATTAAAAATAAATAATTGCATTTAAAACTATAACGTAAAATATATATAAAATAATATTCATTCATCATATGATCAAAAGAGTTCAGACATATTTGAATCAGAGCATTATAACAAAAGTATATACATGACAACTATGAATATTAAAAACATCAGAAAGATGTCGTATTGATTCTGGATGTCTAAAGTGGTCTCTCAAAATGTAGGATATTTCGCCTGGCTCCCTACTCTGCTGACTTCGTTTTTCCTACGTGTGAATTATCACACGCTAAGTATTTCACTTAATGAGGCAACTTTTAAAATAAATGACATATAAAATAAACATTTGTATATAAAAATATTAATTAAATAAATCATGCGCAAAATAAAAGTAAAAACAATTATTAAAATTCTTTACTTTAAACTATGTATTAAATCGGTACTTTTCTATTTTAATTTGTATTGTTGTCCACTGTACTATAATGAGAAATCTATAGTACATGAGTCACATGAGTGAAAATTCACTATTAACTATATTAGGTTATTCTACTTCGGCACCACTAAGGTACACGAGTTATATGAGTATCAATATCATATCATACAACATATAAAATATCTGTAGATTGCATCGATTACTCTACCTCGATACTATTAAAGCACATGAGTCATATGAGTAATCTATACTGGTGCAACTCGTAAGTTTGTAACTGTTGACTTCACCTCTTGGCATGTCAATTGTACCATTAACTCTTACTCCCATACAATGGGCTTACTTAAAATCATGTATTATTTCACATATAAAAGCATTCATGTATCCAAATAAAATAAATTTCATAGATACGATCTTGGGCAGTTCATACCCAAAATAATCATACACTATAAAAATAAAACAATTTGATAATATATATGTTCAATTACTACTTTAAAAAAAACCTTTTAAATAAAAACAATCGAGGTTGACTCATCGCAATTCTTTCTCGTATTATTTCGTTAAAAAGTTAATTGCACTCACATGTGACCTCACTAGCTTATTTGATACTATCGATTTATTCTCGAATTTTATTCATTCCTTTTATCTCGCTTTGAACTTGAGTATGATCACGATCTACACAAATGTCGATTATACCGACATCACAATTCCGAATACGAATTAGTATTTTAACTAATGTAATAAACTCGAATTCAAATAAAAATTCCAAAAATTATCCTCAATGCATATTCGATATAATTTTTCCTTCCACCTAATTACAGTTAACCTTAATTTTTTTTAACCAAAACAGAACATCATCATTTAACTCAATTGAGCATCATATTCAATATTACTTGGACTGTGCCAAACTCAAACATGATTATGTCTACATCACAGAGACGTTCGATTTTCAAAGCTTTTCCACAACTACAGCACAGGAACTTGTTTATGGCTTTATGCCATACGAATACAAATATAGTTTTGCATTTTATTTTAATAAACAAGGGTAATCTTATACTCTGTTCTCTCCACTTTCTTTCATCCCATTGCCAGAACATGAAATTTATTAAGTCACAATAACACTTAAATAATAATGCAACAATCGACTTTTATGTACTCAACCATGGCCGAATACTCATATTCCATTTTCTAATGGTCTTCAATTTATTTTCAAGCTTAAATCCTTATCTATAATTCATTTTCAATCATTTCCAATGAATTCCATATCATAACAATCAAAATTAACATTTCTCCATAAAACTCCATAATAACCGAATTTTTTCGAACAAGTCCTTCCAAATGCTTCCTATAAATTTTAATGCTTAATTATAACTCCACAACACTCCTAAGATCCAACTTCAACCTTAACTCAATCAAAATCAACTTCCCCTTCATTCACATAAATCACTTCGTTCCACCATTCAAGCATGAAACAAAGAAATATTTACACCAAATCGTAGAGAATTTAATGGGGATTATTTTCTTGTTTCACACTTTAGACCAAAATCTTACTAAATTTGATCAAAAATGGAAAAGAAAAGAAATTGCTTACCTTGACTATGAGTTTCAGCAACCTGCTAGCGAAGAAGAGACTTCCAAAATTTATGAAAAAACAATCCCCCAATTTTGACTTTTAAAATCAATAAAATAATTTTTTTATTCATTTTGGCCAAAAAAACCAAATTGCCATTAATGAATTCCCTAAATTACAACTATACCACTCCATTATCTCTAATTTAGTATTATTAAATAGCTATAAAAATCTCATCTCTCAATTTTTCTTTTTGACCATCCAATTTTTCAAAAATCCATTTTAGTCATTAAATTATACTATCTCATTTTATAGTGCAATTCTCACCAAATTTCACCATATCCAGCTTAAATTTCACTATTTAAAAATATCCATTTAATTTTTACAACCCAAATATACCTTCATTCAAATTTTTACAAACTTCTGATTCAAGTCGATAATTCGAATAATATACTGAACTTTGTCCTTTAATAGGCTTTTATGCAAACTCCATATCAAAATTTTGAAATACACTAAAATAATTTTCTTGGGATAAACTACTAATTTACAAATCCAAAATTTAACTTTCAAAAATGTACACTTTTAGTCCTTAAACTTTTACAACTTTATATTAATCCCCAAACTTTCAAAATTTACATTCCAATTACCAGTCTAAATTTTGGGATATTACAATTGGGGTAAGGCTATAAATAGGGGTTTAGAGTTTTGGTGTTTTTCCAAACCTTGAATCCAAAAAATTGAAAAAACATATGTTGTGCGAAAATCTCGAAAAATGGCAACCCAATAACACATGTTGCGCCTGGATAACGTCCATGTTTCGTTGATCCAACGCAGGCCGGACGACGAATGAAGTATTTGTAGTCGGGGGATGACAACTAGAGAGCTGCATCAGCGGATGATAGTATATCTGCATTAATCTGGTTTATTTCTGACCATATTTTTACGTGGCTTCAAGGTGTACCCGACATTGATCGAGGCACTGATTGAACGTTGGTGACTTGAGACGCACACATTCCATTTCCCGAGTGGTGAAGCGATGATTACTCTGAAAGACATCGCTTACCAACTCCAACTCGGTGTTTCGGTGAAAGGAGCCCCCGTCGTGAGTCATAACTCTTACGACCCCGCGATGTTCATCCTCCAAGTCTTGGGAAAATGGCCACCATCTGACTTCATGAGGGGCTATCGGGTAATGATAACATGGATGAAGTCTGAATTCCAAGTCACAGACGAGTCTACCGAGGAGGATGTTTTTTTCACTTTCCAAGCATTTATTCTCCAAGTGATTGGAGGGATATTATTACCGGATAAATCCTATATTTTGGCTCTCAGTATCTATAATATTTGGAAGACTTCGTTGTGTACCGGAATACCAGTTGAGGCTCGACGATTTTGGCCTTTCTTTGCCTAAAGATTTGCAAGGCTGCAACTGTCAAACTTGGTCAAAATCCGATGAAGTAGGCTATCTGTTACGGCTACAGTTCTAAGCCTGGTATCAGTTGCCCTTTTTTATGCCGATTACAGATGCCCCGGTCGAGTTTTCGTTGGCTACAAGGTAATTGTTTAACTTCATTTATTTAACTTTTTTTAATCTTAAAATTATATATAATATATATATATATATATATATTTTAGATAGCATCGTAAAATAACAAAGATGAAGTTGATAGGTGTCGATGCACGAGACATATGGATGAGGATCAATATTGTCGGTCGATTTGCGGTATGATATACCCTATTTTTATTATTTTTTTGAATCTTTTTAACTTTATATATACTAACTTTGATATTTAATATTTATAGTTCTCTTGACTTCTGTATGTCAACGAGAAGATATACCATGTACTGCCGGCAGGATTTTTAGAGGGGTCCCACTTATGGTGTATCGTGACGTTGTTATTACACCAAACGATTGTTGAGTGGCACGCGACTGATAGAGTGATGCGTCAATTTGTGGCACACCAGTCGATTTCTACAGAAATCGTGGTTGTTATAGACGTGCTCCATACAATTGATACGCGTGGGAAACATGATGAAAATTGGCCGACGCGACATGCTTACTACATCGACCTATGGAATCAGCGTGAACTATCCCTCCCCCATCGTCAGGACATTATACTGTTGGACTTAGATTTCAACCATTCCCATTATCTCCGGCTTTACGAACAAAATGGCAAATCATATCTCACGACACCAGAAGAGTTGACAGAATGACAATATCATCAGGCCAAAAGCGCCAATTCTAAGTCCAAGTTAAATAAGAAAGCATCGTCGTCGTCGTATTCTTCTTCCACTTCAGCATCTATGGCTGAATAGTACTATTACGCATCTCAGGCTAGTTTTGGTCTCAATCCTCCATTTCATACTTTAGCTGAGACTCGATCGAATTGGGTTGGAGGTTCATGGGATGCACCGCAATACACTCAAGCATCTTCAACAAAACATGAGGTTTGTGGGTGAGTGGAACCATGTCCTATATGGTCACCAAAGTCCAGTCGAAGCAGTTAAGACGATGATGGCATCAAATA